ATACCTAAACTTCATAAACACACAACAAAGAAGTGAATTATAGACCAATTTCTCTTATGAATATACATGCAAAAATACTCAATAAAATACTCACAAACAAAATCCAAGAACACATCAAAAAGATGATTCACCATGATCAAGTAGGCCACATCTCAGAGATGTAGGGATGATTCAATATATGAAAATCAGACAATGCAATCCACCATATAAACAGTCGAAAGAAAAAAAAATACACGATCATCTCATTAGCTGCAGAAAAGGTCTTTGACAAAATCCAACACTCCTTTATAATAAAAGTCCTGGAGAGGTGAGGGATATAAGCGACATATCTCAACATAATAAAGGCAATTTACCGCAAGCTCATAGCCAACATCAACTTAAATGGAGGGAAACTCAAAGCAATCCCACTAAAATCAGGAACAAGACAAGACAAGGCTGTCTTGTCTACTTTCACCATATGTATTCAATATAGTACTTGAAGTTCTAGCTAGAGCAGTAAGACAACTAAAGGAGATCAAGGGGATACAAATTGGAAAGGAAGAAGTCAAAGTATTGCTATTTGCCGAGAATATATTATACATAAGTGACCAAAAAAATTCTACCAGGGAACTCCTACACTGATACATATCTTCAGCTAAGTGGCTAAAATCAATATGGTGGTTTCTCAGAAAATCAGGAGTCTATCTACCTCAAGACCCAGCCATATCATTCCTGGGCTGGACACAGGGCTGGTGGCCTAAAAAGAGTGTTGAATTTTTGCTGCAGTATCACTCTCTGCTTAAAAATGCAGAGTGATGCTGAACTTCAGGGTTTAGATGTAGATTCTCCCGTCATTGAACACATCCAATGAACACAGCACCTAAGATGCGCCAACGGACTTACAGAGCTCATGGCTGTACATAACCTGTACATGAACTCCCCCTGCCACATCGAGATGATCCTCACTGAAAAGAAACAAACTGTTCCGAAGCCAGAAGAGGAGGTGGTGCAGAAGAAAAGATATCCGAGAAAAAACTGAAGAAACAAAAACTTATGGCATGGGAATAAATTCAGCATAAAATAAATGCACATAAAAGTAAAAAAAAATGACATCATGAAATTTACAGGCAAATGGATGGAACTATAAAAAATTATCCTGAGTGAGGTAACCCAGACCCAGAATGACAAATATGGTGTGTGCTCATTTATAAGGGGATATTAGCCATTACATAAATGAAAACCAAGCTATAATTTGTAGACCCAGAGATGTTAGGTAAAGAGGA